TTGCCAGACTCTATTCATTTTAACAGGTAACCACAGTTTGTTCTGGCTTTGAGAATATAAAGTGTTTCTCTATAAGGATTAAACTTTATGGAATTGTCAATACAGGTATAATAAGAACAGTTGTTACAAGTCACAAGAAAGGAAGGTTCATTATACTCGGCAGGGCCAATCATGAATAAGTAAGACAGTATAACACAAGCTTGGATATATAGTAGAGTTAACATTAAAAGTCCACTCCTGACTATTGTTTGTATTTAATGTGTGTGTGCTAATCCAAGCCTGTAGAGGATGCAAAGTAACCAACAGTTTCCACAATTGATCATATATAGGGCCATTGAAAATGTGAGGGGCTGGAGGGCTCATATCATTATTGAGCTACCTAATATTACTTTGCAAGCCAGTGTCTTTTACAGACATTGAGGTGGCAGTTTTATTCCAATGAAATTTCCTAAGATTGCAAGAGGAGGCAGGATGCCCATAGGGACTCCAGTCTAGTACATAACTGTAAGATGGTAATCTAGTAAGAATGTGTCCCATGTGGGTTCTACAATTTTCCCATTGTGCCCAGTTTTTAGAGTAATTACTACCTTTTTACAAATGGGTACATCTGTGGGTGCAATCTTAGAATGTTCAAAAGAAGAAACAGAAGAGATGGTCAGAAGGAACAATGAGGCCTTAGTTTTACCACTGGTTGATTTTCTGGTGACCAGCCAGGTTTGGGTAGTGGGGCTTTTTTTGTTTTTTGGGTTTTTTTGAGACAGAGTCTCACTCTGTTGCCCGGGCTAGAGTGCTGTGGTGTCAGCCTACCTCACAGCAACTTCACACTCCTGGGCTCAAGGAATCCTCCTGCCTCAGCCTCCTGAGTAGCTGGGACTACAGGCATGTGCCACCATGCCCAGCTAATTTTTTCTATATATTTTTAATTGTCCAGCTAATTTGTTTCTATTTATAGTAGAGACAGGGTCTCATTCTTGCTCAGGCTGGTCTCAAACTCCTGAGCTCAAACGATCATCCTGCCTCAGCCTCTCAGTATGCTAGGATTACAGGCATGAGCCACCATGCCTGGCGTGGGTAGCAGGTTTTAAACAATGAATACATTTACCAATACATATGGGAGGGCCCTCTGTTCCAACTTCGTATTTATTAATTTTAGTCCCTTCCTCGTTGGGTTTTATTGGATGACAATAGTCATAAGGTTCTGGTAGCCAATTGGACGATTAACAATACTAAGAAAGGGGTGTCAGCCCAGTTGACAGTTTTATTTAAAGTGGGTTAGGAATTAAGGCCCAATAGTGATAGGTTGTTCCCCAGATACACCTACTGCCATCTCACATGCTGATCATCAGCAAGAAAAGTTCAGAAACATTTTCGGTACAGATGTCTGATCTAATATCTTGTCTGCTTTCTCACAGGTCTTCAGCTGGCCCCATGTTATGGCTGTGCCTGTTGTGTTTTCTGGTTCAGGATCTCTTGCACTTTAGTTTAATTCTTTGAAAATCCTTGGCCGTCCACTGTGGGCTTGATTCTTCTCCTGGGAATCCATATTGCTTGTCCGTCATCTGTCAAAATACAAGCAAAACCTTGACCACACTCCTCTGCCCATCCTTCTCTCCATTTATTTTCTATATCATCTTTCCACCAGATAGGCTGGTGAGGGAAAGAGCATGGTTGTCAACTCGCACTCCAATGTTTCTCTACTGCTGTTAAATTGTCTTCTTTATGAATATTCAAACAATTTAGCGTAAATAAGGCTTTATTTATTCTACCTCTGTGGGACCGTATACCTCCCTCTTTTTGTTTAAATAACACTTTTTAAGGTTTGATGAGCATGTTCTAGAATACCTTGTCCTTGAGGATTATAAGGAATGCTAGTAATGTTATTGATATTCCACCTAGTGCAAAAGTTGCAAAAGAGTGACTAGTATAGGCAGGGCTGTTGTCAGTCTTGATGGTGGCTGGGACTCCCATGTACATAAAACAGGAGTATAAGCATGAAAGTACGTGTCTAACAGTTTCTCCAGGGAGGAGTAGCGACATAATAAGACGCAGAAATATGTATCTATTGTAACGTGTACAATGCCTAACTTGCCGAATTCAGGAATATGTATAACATCCATTTGCCATAATTCATTTAGTGAGAGGCCTTGGGGACTAACCCCTGCAGGAAGACTAAATGGATTAACTGTTTGGCAAGTGGGACAGTGAGAAACAATATGCTTAGCTTGATTATTTGTTATGTGAAAATTTTTGATTAAACCTTTCATATTAATGTGAGTTAATTGATAAAATTGAGTTGCCTCTTGAACAGAACCAATAAGTAATTGATCTATTTTTTCATTGCCAGCCACCAATGGACCTGAGAGATAAGTATGAGATATGATATGAGTAATAAAAGGTGAAAACTGGCGATTTCATATAATTGACTGAAGTTGCTGAAACAGTTTGGAAACTTCCTCAGTTTCTGTAATGGTAACTGTTTCCAAGGCTAGAACTGTTTGTAAGACATATTGTGAATCTGAAACAATATTTAAAGCTGAAGTAATATATTGTAAAAGCTGAGCAACAGCATGCAGTTCTACTTTTTGTGCTGAATTATAAGGTGTGGTCCACATTTTAGTTAAAGGACTGGAAAAGCTGCCCGACCATTGCTGCTGCCATCAGTAAGAAAGATAGGGGCATGAGGTATAGGTGTGGATTTATTATTTTAGGTAATATCCATTGAGTTAATTTTAGAAATTGGAACAATTTGTTTTTCGGATAGTGATTGTCAATTGTTCCTAAAAAATAAGATATACCTGATTGCCAATCCAGGTTTTGTTGATAAGCCATTTGAATTTGTGCATTAGTAAGAAGAACAACAATTTTCTCAGGATCTTGCCCACTTAGTTGTTTTAGTCTTTGACAGCCTTTAAATATAATCTGACCAACTTTGTCCAAATATGTCATAAGATATTTCTGTTGTTTATGTGGGAAAAAATCCATTCAATTATACCCTTTTCTTGAATTAAGATAGCAGATGGAGAATGTTCCGATGGGTAAACAATTAAATCCACTCTTTTTTCTAGATCCACTCTAGAAAGTTGAGCTTTGTGAATATGAGGTTGAATCCATGCCAGTTTCTCTTGAGCTGCCTGAGTTAGCTTACGAGGACTATTAAGATCAGAGTCACCCTTTAGTATATCAAACAAGTTGCTTAAAGCATAACTAGGAATACCTAACATAGGTCTAAGCCAATTTATGTCTCCTAGTAATTTTTAAAAATCATTCAGAGTTTGTAATTTGTCTATATGTATTTGAACTTTTTGAGGAACTATTTTATTTCTATCAATGAGAGACCCTACAAAAATAAGTGGATAATCCTGTTGGATTTTATCCTCAGCAATTTATTAAACCAAATTGAGGCAATACTTGTTTGGCCTGTTGGTATAGTTGTTCCAATTTTTGTTTAGATGAACATGTAAATAAAATGATATCCATATCATGAATAATATAACTATGTGGGAAACAATTCCACGATATTTCCAAAGGCTGATTGACAAAACATTGGCACAGGGTTGGGCTATTAAGCATGTCCTGAGGCAAGACTTTCCATTGGTACAGTTTAGTTGGTTGTTGATTGTTTAAATCAGGAATGGTAGAGGCAAATTTTTCTCAATCAGATATTTGTAAAGGAATTGTAAAAAAGCAGTCTCTTAAATCCACTATTACAATATACCAATCTTTAGGGATCATAGTTGGAGATGGGAGTCCTGGCTAAAGAGCCCCCATTGGTTGTATAATTGAATTGATCTTTCTTAAATTAGTTAACATTCACCATTTACCAGATTTCTTTTTAATAACACATACCGGGAGTTCCACGGACTGGTGGAATCCTCTATATGTCCTGCTTGTAATTGTTCCACTAATGTTTGAAGAGCACCCAATTTTTCCTGGCTTAGCAGCCACTGCTCCCTCCATATATGTAGGCTCTGATGATGTCCATTTTAGAGCCAGTGCTTAGTGGTACCCTTCAGCAGCAGTGGCCGCTATCCAAAATTGGATAGCCTAAACCAAGTCGAACAGTGCTCTTTTGGTACCACAAAAGTCTTAGCCCCTTGGCCTTCTTCACCCAAACCAAAACAAGGATTATAATTCATATTAAGCATTATTTGTTCAGCAGGAGCAGATAGAGTATGTATACTGATGTAAGCTCCCCATTGTTGTAAAAAATCTCTTCCCCATAGATTAATAGCTATGTCAGCCACATAAGGTTTTAGAGTGGCTGTTTATCAGGGCCACAACAATTTAATATTTATTAACTTTGAAATTTATTAGTCATAGTTCCAATTCCAGTAAGTACCACGGGACCTGTTGTAAAAGCCAAGCAGTCAGCCAAAAGCCTTTAGAAATAATTATAGCATCAGCCCCAGTGTCTACAAGTGCAACAAAAGATTTGTCATTTAGTTTGATCTCTAGTTGAGGTCTCTAGTCATTAATAAAAATTTGCCAATATGCTTTATTATTTTTTTATTTTTTTTTGAAACAGAGTCTCACTTTGTTGCCTGGGCTAGAGTGCTGCGGCGTCAGCCTAGCTCACAGCAACCTCAAACTCCTGGGCTCAAATCATCCTCCTGCCTCAGCCTCCTGAGTAGCTGGGACTACAGGCATGTGCCACCATGCCCGGCTAATTTTTTCTATATATGTTTTTAGTTGGCCAATTAATTTCTGTCTATTTTTAGTAGAGATGGGGTCTCATTCTTGCTCAGGCTGGTTTCGAACTCCTGACCTTGAGCGATCTGCCCCTAGCAATCCCAGAGTGCTAGGATTATAGGCGTGAGCCACTGTGCCCGGCCTGCTAATATACTTTAGTTCCAGTATTCCCAAACCCTCCTTGTCTTTGAACATTAGACTTTCCAATTTGCGTAACAGAAGTTGTGCAGAATTGGAACTCATTATGACTGAAATCTCCTCTGAAAAGTCTGAATCAATTACACCTGAATGCACTGAAATTCCTTTCATAGTAAGAGAACTCCGGCCAATGATTAATCCCACTGTGGCTGGAGGAATTGGACCGAATACACCTGTATGTACTTTACATATGCCAGCAGATGGCATTAGAAGACCATTATCATGGATGGAAGATCTAAGGCTGCACTCCTGCTCCTGGCAGGTAAGTCAGCAACCTTTCATTTTGGGGAATCTAGCTTTAAAATTGTCGTGGGGCTGCTGGCCGGGGCTGTCTATTGCCACATTGTTTTCTGAGTCTGCAGCTGCCAGGTTGGGAATCGTTGGGCAAGATTGTCTCCTGTATTGTTTTTCTTGGGGCCCTGGGCAGGGCCCCATCCCCCGTTTCCCTGGTCCATAAAGGAGTGGCCGTCAGCATGAAATTTAGAATGGCATCCATCAGTCCAGTGATACCCTTTACCAAAGCGAAGGCAAAGTCCAGGAGCAGGACCAGTCAGGTGACAATTATTAGTTGTTCTCGGTGGTTGTTTACAATCTGTTTTAAAATAACCTTTTTGGTCACAATTACAACATTTAGAGGCTGTTTTTTGTCCTCCAGGGCATTGTTCCTGGATAACCTCAGCCAATAGTTGCATTTTTGTGTCTGATCCAACAGGCTTTCATATATTCCTCTAAAGGAGTGCCGCTGGATTTGAAAGGGTGCAGAAGCCACCGAGGCTCAGAGTCGGCGTCATCAAAAGCCAGCATACACAACAACATATTTCCTAACTCAGGAGGCCTAACCATTTTTTGCATAACATCCTGCAATCTAGTAATGAAATCCAGATAACGTTCACTAGCAGTTTGTTTAACATTTACACAAGAAGGCACAGTTTGTCCAAGTGGGGTTATCTTCTCCCATGCTCTAAGACAGCACTGCCAGACTTGAGCAATAGCCTGATCATCATATTTCAATTGAGCATCTATGCCAAATCATTTTCCTTGTCCTGTAATTTGTGCTGCTGAAATACCTGTTAGAGGATCTTAGGACTGATTATGCTATGCTTGCTGACGAGCTTAGTCACCCCACCAGATAGTGAACTGAAGAAATTCAGATGGAGATACGACTATCTGAGCAAACATTTCCCAGTCCCAAGGAATTAATCATTCCACTTGAGCCAATCTCTCAAGCAAGCCTTTCGTATAAGGAGAGTTAGTTCCATAAGAAACACAGGCTTGTTTTAATTCTTTCAAAGTTTTAAGTGATGGCTCATGAATATAGCATGGGGTCCAAGTTGCTCGCGCCACCTGGCCTTGATCATCAGAATCTGAATCTGGCTGTACTATAGCAACCGGGACAAGACAAGCTTCCAGGTCTCCCCTCAGCTGTGCCTCTCTTATGGCTTCCTGAATGCCTCCTTGAGTTCTTGTTTGTTTTTTAGGAGCCTTCTTTAAAGCCTTTTTAAGGGGAGGATCATGTTTCAGGGAAAAGTCAGCATAAGAAAGCAGCTGTGCAAAGGGTGAGAACTTGGCGCAGGGAAGTCTCTATCTGAGGTCTTGCCTTTACTTTCAGTTTCACAAGGAGCCAAGGGAAGGGGAAGCAGAAATTCATCTTCAGAATTTTTCCACTCCTTCATTCTCTCTATTGATCCATACTGAGGACCAGCAGCCAAATTTAGCAGCTTTTCTTCATCCTTGCCTGATGCATGTGGAAGATCTTATATAACCTCCTCTTCCGTATGAAAGCCGGGCTCTGGATCAGACACTGTCTTTATTTTAGGATAGGAGTGAGCCATCTCATTATCAGTCTAAGTCTGATTGAAATGGTTTCAGAGCCTGAGTAATTAAGGAGCAAAGTTGTCACACAGAAAAAGGGACCTTCTCTCCTCTCTGGTGCGTGTGCCACAGTGCTCTGATGGCCGGCCGCCACTGTCTGAGTGCACCTGGAGAGGGAAACCAATAGCAGGGTTTGGAAACTAAATGAAAGAGGTCCTCAAAAGTTTTATGCTTGGCAACCACCCCAGAACTCTGTAACAGAGTCTGCAACAATTCAGTGTACTCAGTAATTTAGACTGATTCTGCCACATTGTTACCCTGACTGAACAATCCCCAGAGCTGAGCTCACCCCTCCTGGGCACCATGGCTCAGATCCTTCTCCAGGTCTCTGTGACACTGTATGGGAATCTCCTTCACTCCGGTGAAGCCTTCTGCTTTTAGGACTCTGCTCACTGCACCAGTTGCCGGGAGTTAGTTACTCTCCCAGCAAAACAGGTCCCAGGCAGGATCATCACAAGAGATTTGGAAATAATAGAGATGGAGACAAAGTGTAGTTTAAAGTGGTGGGGAAATCAGAGGTCCCTCAGCATTCCTGTGAGCCAGGAGGCACTGAGTGAAGTCTCACATCCATATTGGTACAGAAATTAGTTGTTAGTGATTGTAGATTTATATGTACAAATTATTTGTTTAGGTTTCATGGCTCCCCAAAGGTTTCAAGGGATCCCTTAATTAATTCTATCTACATGAGCATATGGTTACAAAATTTTTCAAAGATAAGCTTCTTAAGCACTAAGAACAGACCTAGCTGAGCATACAAGTTAAAGATAAAATTGCCAATTAGCAGTAAAGCTAAAACAGAAACATAAAGACAATATATTTTTTTTATTTAGCTCCTCATTAACTGAGACATGTGGTCAGGACTGAAACAGTAACTGTCCTTCAGGCTAATTGGTTTCAGCTGCAGGTGTCTGCTGGGCTGACATTCTTTGATTAGTCCTTAACCTGCGGCCCATGCCGAGCTCTGCCATGCACAAGCTCCAGGCGCTGGCCTGCAGGCCTTGGGACAGGTGCTGCCTTGCTGCATTCCACCTGCATTCCACCTGATCGGTGGAATGCCCCCCTTGTTTCTAAGCAGCTTCTGGTCTGTGAACTAACACGCCCACAGATTCCTTCAAGGAGAAGCCCTGCAAAACTCCTGCAACTTTCAACGTCTTTAGCTCTATTTCCAAACATGCCTCCACTTCCCTTTCTCCTGTACAGCACCGCCCCCCCCATACTTTCATTTCTTCTCCAGCCCAGCTAGCCTAACACGCACAGCACTGGTGTGAGCATATGTGCAGGTGTCGATGACTGAGTGTGCCCAGGCTGGTCTGTTCTCATTGCTATCACACAGGGAGGTGCACCAGAAGCCCCTGACAGCTTCATTTAAAACACACTTGGCTGCCTTTCTTCTCCTAATCCTTGCTGAACAACAGTCTCCAGGGCTGGGCTGGGGCAAGTGCAATTTGAAAACATGTCTCTTGGAAATTGAGACACATGTTACCTCAGCCATCTGCAGGAAGGCAGTGGAGAGGACAGGCTGGGAGCACTGACTGCCGGAATCACACTGGGCCTGACTCTGGACAAGCAGCCTCACATTGCTTGGAATATGGACTGGGCCATGCTCAGGAAGCTGTTACTAGGACACATTGAGAGAAAGTTTGTCAAGTATTTAACACAGTGCCTAGCTCATAGTAAGTACATGGTCAATATTAGTTTTCATTAAATTATTGCTTTCCTCTAGGACTGACATAGCCTTTCTCAATTTCCCTACAGTGCTTAGGATAGGCCTTCCCTGTGGCAGACATCAGCCCATGCAGTGAACCCGTATGGCCGACACAAACATGCCACGACTCCTCCCAACCTGCAGAGCAATCCTCTATATTGGACCCACTCCCCCTCCAGCGAGCACTCCATTTCTTTTCTTCTCTTTATAGGAAAATTCACCAAATACTTTTCTATACTCACCTTCTATAATTCCTCCAATTCTGTCATCTTTCACTAAAGAAATTTCAAATATACATTTTGCCAATATTCAATTTTCCAACCTCTTAATTTTTTTGCTTATTTTAAAGCAAACCCCAGAAATCATGTCATTTCACCTAGTAGACTATATCTCTAACAAATGAGAACTCTTAAAAGACAATCCTTACCACATCTAACAAAATAACAATATTTCTCTAACATCAGTTAATACCTTACCTGTGTTCAAATTTCTCCGATTGCTGTAAAGTTGCTTCATTTGAATCAGGACCTAATTGAGGCCTTATATTTGGTTGATTTTTCTCTTGACACTCTTCTCCCAACTCTCTGGAACCCACACTATTTAAGGCTCTATTGCTCTATGAAAACTATACTTTTCAAGGTCAACAATAACCTGGATGTTGCTAAAGCTGACGGAGGGTTCTCCGTCCTCACTTCCCCAACCCGTCGGCAGCATTGGCTCTGTGGGCCATGCCCTCATGGGGAAGCCCTCCTTGCTGGAACACGCAGGCAGGCACATCTCCTGGTCTTCCGCCAGCCCCCACCTGGCTGCTGCTCCCCAGCTGCCATCCCTACCTCTGAGCACTAGTGTGCACCAGGGCGCCACTCCTGTCTTCTTTAGTTTTCTTTTCTCACCCTTGGTGGAGTTGTCCAGGATCAAGTATTTAAAAGCATCGAGAGTTTATATCTCTAGCCCATTCCAAGCGCCCACTGAACATCTCCAAACGAATGTCTAATAGTTGTCTCAAACTTAATCTGCCAAAAGCTCCATCCCCATCCCTCCTGCCCTCAGACTTCTGCATCTCATGCTCCTGATAACTTTGGCCCCAACCTTGGACTCCACTCCTCTTTCACACCCCACACTGACCCCTCAGGAGGCACTGACAGGCAGGCCCTGTCACCTGAAGACTCTAAGCATGGCTGGGTGGGTGGGCAGATGTGTTCAAACAGAGACACTGTGGTCACATGGAGCCAGAACCTTTAGACAAGGTAATATATTTCCATGGCAAGGGGACTTTGCCAGGTCAGGTTGAGGTCCTGGCTCCAGGCAGGAAAGGGATAATAATTCTGTAGATGCCATGAGCCTTGATTGAGCAAATAAAGAAGAGGAAGCTATGTTTTCTGCTTTCATTAAAGGGCAAAAGCAGTGGGGACAGAGCTTAGCAAGAGTCAGTAAGCAGGCAGAGGAAGAATTTTAACTCCTTGGGTGTTTTCTTCCATGATACCTCTGCACTCACCCACCCCCATATTGTGGCTTCTTTGGCCTGCCCTCCAAGGCCACCACACCTGTGTGTCCCTCAGCTGAAGGAGGGGGAGAAACCAGGCTGCATATCAATGTAATCAGATGGCAATGAAATGATTTGTTATTTCTCAGTATGAGGTTCCCTGGGGCTTCTGCCCCTCTTGGAATTGGGCAGGAAGAAGAGATCCGGGGATGAGACAAAGAGTGGTGAAATGACACTTCTACCCAGTGCCTGGTCCCCGGAAACCCTCACCACCTCTAGCCCCTCGCGCAGCTGCACTCTCACTGTAGCAAGGCCACAGGAGAAAAGAGAAATGATTCACAGTGAAAGTATGGTCAGGAGACCCTCTGGGCCATCTCTTCCTCCTTCTTCAGCAGGCCCAGTAGAAAACCGAGGCGGCAGGGAGCTCCCCAGGAGAAAGAGCAGGCAGAGGCTGCTGGCTCTGCACTGCCCCTCCACGCCTCGCTCTGTCCATGGAGGTCTCTGCCTGCCTGCTGGTTTCGCCGTAGAGAGGTATGGAACACACATGCACAAGGGGGCCCTGGTAGAGAGCAGGCTGGAGCCAAACATGGAGTCAGCAATGACGATTCCTTTCTGAGGTTCTGTGGGGGAATGGATAAAAGTTGGGCAAAACCATGGAAAAAGAAATGGGTGGTCCAGAAGGTATTCGGCCAGCCAAGATGACCATGATGTCACAATCAAAGGAAGAGAGCTGCAGGGAGGAGGTGAGGCAGGCACGCCGGTGGGCTCTGAGTCTCTGGGTCTCCAGGCTTGGGAGCAGGGGACTAGCTGGACAAGGGAAGGGGTTGCTCTTAGTACCTGGCACGACCTCCTAAATGAGAGATTTCCAATAACTTCCACTCCCTCCCCCATGCTGATTATTTCTTACTTTTGTTCTGCTCCCTTGGGAAGCAGAAGCAGGACAGGTGAGAGGGAAAGATGAGGGCACCACGGTTCCTCTCTGGTACTGACCTGTGAGGCTGGATAGGAATCAGGTGACCCCTAAATTCCTGCATTCGCAGCAGGAGCATCTGGGAGGAAGGGTTCAGGCTCTGTAGGCCACTTTGGGGGCCACAGTAAAGCCTTGCTCAAGAAAAATAATCTTTAATCAACTCTTCTTGCCTACACAGTCCCCTGAAGAGACATGAAGAAAGCAGGGCTGCAGTGAGAGAAAAGGGAGCCCCCAGATGCCGTGAGCAGAGGAAGCAGAAGCTGTGGCCGCCGCCAGGGAAACGGATTGGAGTGGCTCCTTTTCCCTATCTGGGGAGAAGATCACATGCTATCTTGGAAGTATGTAGCCTTCTACTGACCCATGGGCACTGAGAGAATGGCCTTTCTGCTTTTTATGGGAGATGAGGAAAGAAAACTTAAAAACTGAGGGAAGGGCCCACAGCCCACGGAAGGAGTTGGGGTAGAAAGCTCTATCTTCTTGAATATTAAATCAAATGCTACAGGTCTGACAAGCCAGACCATTCTAGACCTTCACCCCTAAGATCCCACACTTCTGGTCAGACCTGCCCTGTAAGCTACTTTTCTAACTACAGCAGATGGGAGAAGAAAATGAGTTTTTAAGAAATTCAGCAAATCTTTACAAGTATCCCTTGGATTTGTAGCACACTTGAGCCTGAATGGAGATGAGGTTCTTGGCTCTCCCTTCCCTCTCGTCTGCCCCTCCCCTGCCCCACTCCTTCAGCATCACCATTGCCAGGGCAGGTGCTGCCCAGGTATGCGTCCCCCCTGAGCTGTTCTTCCACCCAGTTCTCCATCACCTGTCTAAGCAGAGAGAGAAGCTGACATGGCCACAGCCTTGCCAGCACAGAGGAAGGAATATTCCAGCCCCTGTCACCCCTTCCTCCCACATTCCTAGTTCATGGACCTCTCGAGTGAAGAAAGAGCTTGAGGCCCCAGGTCCTGGGGCTCAGCATTTCTCTAGGAACCTGACATGCAGCTCCAGCTATCACCCAGTCACCAAGGGGAAGCAAGACTTGGAGTCCTCAGCCATCACAAAGAGAGCCACGGCAGGCATTGCACCCAAATACTAACTCCCTTTGCCAACTGTCCCCTCCTCATGTTCCTTTTCCATGATGGCCAACCACCCTGCGCCAAAATCCTCCTTCAGTCTGAGGAAGAAGCTGTGACCAGACTGAGTCCTTGAGCTACCACTGAGGCCTCCGTCGGGTTGATGGTTGGGTTCCTTGCAGCCCTTTGGCTCTGCGGGGAGTGGGAAGAAAGGTGCCCACTCAGGTCCCAGCAGCGCAGGCTTCCCCCGTGAGCGGCTCCTGGCTTTGACTCCCACTGCACCGGTTAAAGAGCACGCTCTGACACTTCTGAGAGAGGAAAATGGCGGAGTAGGGGTGCCCTCCTGGCTCTCTGCTCCCAGAGCAAAAAGTGAAGAAAGCGGATAGCCACACTTGAGCAATCTGCACTTCCATGGGACCAGCTTTGCAAGCCTGCAGACATCCACCAGGAATCGGAGGGATAAGACCATTTGCAGCCTAAAGCAAAGGTGAACCGATTATTCTTCCGCAAAACTCAGGGATTCGGAGGCACACAACAGGGAGGGAGCGAGGTGTGGTTCAAGCCGCTGCCGGCTGGCAGTGGCTCCAGCCCAACCCGGTGCTGAGAAACACCCCCCCTACACTGAGCTCCACTTCCACGTAGGCCAGGAAGTGCCTGAAGTTGGTGAGAAGTGGCAGCGTGGGACTAAGCCATGTGGAGAGGAGACTAGAGCAGGGAACGTGCTGAGTTCGCCAGAAGACACAGCTGCCGCAGTATAAGGAGGGGGAGGGTCCGAGCGCAGCAACCGCTCTCCGCGCAGCAGGAACCAGAGCCCACTTGGGCATCCCCCTGCAGAACACTCCCAGGTCAAGGTTAAGGGGAGTTTACACAGAAGGAGGCTTTGACTTTGGATATAGGGGAGGTTTGGGATAGCACTGAGAGGTCAGAGTGCGCAAAGTTAGACTCCTTGATCCATTAGGACCCCCCTCCCTCTGCCCCTCCAGCACCGCTCCTGCCCCTGCACTCTGGCGCTGACTCGGCATTCCAGCGCTGACTTGGGCTCAGGGTTTGGAGGGGAGGCACAGAGAGAGCACTGGTACGCGCCCCTGCTCCACCAATTTGATATTGGACCTTCACGGGCTGCACAAGTGGCACAGACTCTGTGCTCAGAGAGTGGACCCTGCCTGGACAGGGCAGTGCTACAGGGGAGATTGCCCTTGGAGGGTTTAAGGCAGAGAAACATTGCCTTCCACACTCTCCTGCGACCTGGAGCCCCGCCCTGGGCTCCAAAGTCTCTGTCCCAGCCTTGGGGGCGGAGTTGAGATAGGAGCTGTTCTCATTCCTGCCACTTATCTCCACCTGTCTAATTAAGGACACAAAAGACAGGGATACGTGGGTCCCATTGACTGCCTGCCTGCCCACTTCTGGTCAGTCTCTCCCTGCACAGGTCTCCCGCGCTGTGACCAGAGTGTGGAGCCCAACTGGGCAGAATCTGACTTTGTAGGAGGCTGCCTTTAGTGGTTATAAGGTAGAGATATTTTACGACGCCCACATCCGGGGATTTGGGGCTAGGCCTCTGGCTCCAAAGTTTGTATCCCCGCCTTGGGGGCAGAGCCGAGATAGAAACTGCTCCCAGTCCTGCCGCTTATCTCCACCTGTGGAATTAAAGAGACAGAAGACGGGGCCTGGTGGGACTGGCTGCTGGCCTGCTTGAGGACAATCTCTCACTGCACAGATCTCCTGCGCTCTCTGTGTCCAGAGTGCAGAGCCCGCCTGGGCAGGGCCTAGCTTCGTAGCAGGCTGCCCTTAGTGGCTATTAGGCAGAGAGACTTTAGGTCCACCACCGTCCCCGTGTCTTGTGGCTGAGCCTTTGGCTCCAAAGTCTCTGTCCCTGCATTGGGGGCGGAGCTGAGATAGGAACTGTTCTCATTCCTGCCGCTTATCTCCACGTGTGTAATTAAGGAGACAGAAGACAGGGATGGGTGGGTCCCATTGCCTAGCTGCCTGCTTTTGGTCAGTCTCTCCCTGCACAAGTCTCCCGCGCTTTGTGTACAGAGTGCGAAGCCCGCCTGGGCAGGGCTGAGCATTGTGACAGACAGCCCTTAGTGGCTATAAGGCAGAGAGACTTTACGTCCACCACGCTCAAGTGTCATGTGGCTGAGCCTTTGGCTCCAAAGTTTCTCTCCCCACCTTGGGGGCAGAGCTGAGATAGGAACTGTTCCCATTCCTACCGCTTATCTCCACCTGTGCAATTAAAGAGACAGAAGACAGAGATCCCTGGGTCTGACTACTGGCATGCCGGCTTCAAGCCAGTCTCTACCTGCACAGGTCTCCTGCCCTCAGTGTCCAGACACTGGAGTTTGCCTGGGCAGGGCCGAACCTAGTAGGAGGCTGCCTTTGGTGAATACAAGACAGAGAGACGTTACAAACCACACACTCTGGTGACTTGGGGCTGGGCCTTTGGCTCCAAAGTTTCTAGCCCCACCTTGGGGGTGGAGCTGAGATAGGAACTGCTTCCGTTCCTGCCATCTATCTCCACCTGTGTAATTAAGGAGGCAGAAGACGGGAGGTCGCCAGAGCAGCCTGGAGACCAGCGGGAAGGGTAGGGGAATTGGCTGTTTCCCCTCCACTACATCTTGGACTGCGGGTGGGCTCCCCAGCGGGTAGAGAGACATGCAGACACCTGCCCAGCGATGGCTGCCATCAGTGAGCAACACCACCTACCAGCTCAGAAACTAATCAAGATGTGTGAATACCCAAACAAAAACCTAAAGGAAAGGAACAACAACTGAGCGACATGGGAAGAAATCAGCAGAGGAACTCCGGAAATATGAAGAAACAAACAAAAAAGACACCGCTAAAGAGGAGCACCAGCCCCTTAGAAACAGACAACAACCAAAACCTGGCATCCAAAATGACAGAAGAGGAATTTCGAATTTCGAATGTAGATCTTGAACTTGTATATCGAGATTTTGAGCAAGGCCTGGGAAAATTTCCTCTATTATATCTTCATAAAGCTTGTCCAGCCCTTGAGTGTTGTCTTCTTCCCCTTCTGCTAACCCTATGACCCTCACATTAGGTTTTTTCACAGTAACCCATCAACTTCTGTAGGCTTTGCTGTCTTTCTTCGTGTGTTTTCTCTGCTCTATACTGTGACTGATTTATTTAATGGAGTGTTATCTTCAATCTTGAGATTCTTATTCTGTTTGAGTTACCCTGTTCTTGAGACTTTCACAGTATTTGTAATTCCCTGAGTTGATATATTCATCTCCAGGACTTCGGTTAAGTTATCTTCACTGTGTTACCTCTTTTGTGAACCTTTGTTCCAATCCTGGAGGCTTTGTGGTTTCTTTGTGTTGGTTATTTGAGTTTGTGCAGTCGGTGAGTGTTTCTTATGATCACCAATCGAAATTCTTTTTCTGTCAT